TTTTTTTATTTACCCTTAGGTCCAGGTGGCCCAGGAAATCCAATTCCTGGAATTCCCGGTTCCCCATCAGGCCCAGGAGGACCAGGATCACCGCATTTTCCCATGGGTCCAGGGATACCTTAAAAACACAGACACACACCCCTGCATATCAGCAACTTTCCTCATCTTGTTTTACAGGAACACGTGTACACTCTCTGTGACACCCTAGCCCTTTTGGAAAATCAAGAAATAATTTTCACATAACCTCTACTGCATACTGTTCCTCCCCACCCCTATCTAATGGTCAAATCACTAGGAGCTGCAAAGAGTCTTTAAAATATAACTTCATTCCTAAGAGGAACTATTCTATATATCTTGAACTTTATAAATCTTCCTCCATGTGTGCAAAATTACTTTTTAGATCACACTGAAAAAGAAATTGAGTTTTCCAATGATGACGCTATGGAAAGTATCCAGGTCCATTGCCGCTGGAGTGGGCAGACATTACTTGCTCTCCCACCAATGCTCCATGTAGACTGTTCAGTCCGGGATTCCTCATAAGTAATTAGATGAGTTCTCCTTTGGAACTTTTATATCAGAAGCAGCAGCAGGAATCATTTGGGTAACCTCAGAGAATGACAGCCAGGCCCCCGCCTGCTTGTTTATTATCTGACCAGGCTCTGTCCTAAGCTCTCCTTGGAAGTCAATGAATAGAGTTTTTTTCCTTTAACAAAGACAGTATTTTTCCAGGAGAGTCGGGGTACTGTCTAATGTCATGCAACCAATTCGGCAAACGGGGTACTCACCAGGCGGACCTCGGAAGCCAGCACGGCCAGGGGGTCCTGGCGGTCCTGGGGGGCCTGGAACTGGTGTTGAAACACTGCATTCTCCCTTAGGACCTTAAGGAAATTTGTGATCATAAGATTGGGGGGCATAGTGAAGCTTTCCTTAGATAATAGGGAAAAATATAATTATGAGGGGCTTATAAACATATCTCAAGGCAAATAAAGGTTATATCTGTTGATGTCAGCAAGCGATAAAGACTACCTGAGGGACTTTCAGTTGAATTACTCGGTAACAGGGAAAATGAATTTTCTCTAACGTATCCTACATGTTCTTTTCTGGGGTCTACGGCTTGGTGTATTCTGTTAAAAGCAAGTTTCTGTATTTCCATTGATTTTGGAAGAGCCTCTTTAGCTCTAGGAACCATCCACCCACTCCACGGGAAAACACGACTGGAAAGAAAACTAACCAACCGGCTTCTCCGGGTCGCCCAGGGCTCCCAGGAACTCCTTGGGTGCCCTTGGGACCAGGCTCTCCCCGGGGCCCAAAGCCAGGTGGTCCAGGGGGTCCACGTGGTCCAGGTGATCCAGCTGCTCCTGGGGGCCCTGGGGGGCCAGGATCCCCTGGGAGACCCCGGTCTGTCTTCTCATCACGCAGGGCCTGTGACAAGGGAACACGTTTGGGTAGAGTGTCATTCCAGTATCTTCTGACAACAGGTTAATCATTCCTCAAATATGAACTCTAGCTAGGCTGTCCTGGAGAAGACCTTGAAATAAAAAGCAAGTGGGGTTTGAAGGGAATTATTACTAAAATAAGAGCTTTGGAGGGTGCTGCTATTTTAAGTCCTTTAAAATTTAGCAATTTTTAGGACTTTGACCTGTGTTGAGTCCCTCTTGAGAGCCTACAATGACATGTCTCCCACATGAGAACAGCCTCTAAACCTAAGTTTAAACTGGCCAGCAGTTCAAATGGCTTCAGAGTCCATATTCATGGTGATGTTACATTTCTTTTTCTTTCTTTCTTTCTTTTTTTTTTTTTGAGACAGAG